AAATGACCCTAAAGTGCAGAGGCCCTACACCCTTGTAGGGTTTAGGGTAAGGGTTTAGGGTTTAGTAGTATGAACCCCTGTATGGTAGTTGAGCCAAACCCTTGTAGGGTACATTTCGCGGATGCGATAGTCTTGCCCCTGGCCGGGTCAGCGAGTGGCAGTCTAGGGCTGAGGGAGGCGTTCAGGGTTTAGGGGTTTAGGGTTTAGGGTTCAGGATTTAGGGGTTTAGGGTTTAGGGGTTAGGATTTAATGTTTAGGGTCACCTCAGAGGGCGAAGCATCCCATGACTTGCGTATCCTGGCAAGGTCCTCGCCTTTGCCTGAGCGATGTTGCCAGGAACTACTCCAGGACGACCACTTGCAGAGTTTTGCTGATTCATCTCTCGCGCAAAGCCTTAAACCCAAAGCCCTAGAGCGAAAGGCCGGGAATCTAAGAACCCAGGAAGCCAGGAAGGTAAGGCCACATGTTGTGCTTCAGCTGTGGCCCTGCGCCCGTAGACACCCTAAATACGATTATCTGCCCTCTAATAAGACCTAAACCTCCTAGACCCCGAAGCGTAAAACCTAAACCATGAACCCCTAAAGCCCTAAACTGACCTTTAAGGTTGAGCCAAAGCTGCCGTAGTCCGGGTCACTTGTCCAAGGCTGGCGAGCAGCGGAGTCCTTGCGCGCCCAAAAAGCGCGGAAAGTAGGGTTCAGGGTTTTTCCGATTTGGGGTTTAGGATTTAGGGTTAATGTTTACATTAATTTTGGCTTAATAAGTATGGTAGGGTTTCCGTGCCGAGGGTTTGGCACAAGAGCTTTATGTGGGAGTTTACAGGGGGTTTAAATGATTTTCGGTATGGGGAGCTTCATAAGTTCGAATAGGGAGTTGTCTATGACAGTTGTAAACTACAGGAACAAACAAATCCGAAAGGAATAAATAAACAAGCTGGCAAACATTCAGGCATCTAGTCTAAAGTTAGGGTTTCACGGTTTATGGTTCTTTGTGTTAAGGCATGTTAGGGCTTCAGGGTTTAGGGCCTCCGAGCTGACTATTGGCATGTGGTTGTGTCCAGATAATCAAAATAGACTTAAACCCTAAGCACCCTAAATCGAGACCCCCAACTTGACCCAGAGAGCCCAATACCCCCTAATTTGAATATACTATTTGGGCACGTGCACCCTTAGGCATACTATGACGATTTGAAGCCCATATTCCTTGCTTTTAAAACAAGTAGTATTGGCCCCTCCCGTAGGCGGATCCTAACAAGTTTCGCTTCAAACTCTGATTTCAAAGACCCGTAGAGCCCTAGACCCCATTGCCCTAAACCAAAATCTCGAAACCCCAAAGCCCCCCCCCTAAACCCCTAAACCCTAAAAACTTCAAACCCTGCACCCCTAGACCCCCACACACCTAAAACAAAAAAACCCAAAACACCCCTGAGCCGAAAAGCTTCAAGCCCCAAGCCCTTTTCAAGAGCCCGTTCTGCCAACGAATGCTCTGGATTGATAGGGTTTAGGGTTTAGGGTTTAGGGAATCTGGAGTTTTGTGGGTTCGCTGAAACCTGGTCGGGCGTACCCTAAGGGTCCAAAGGACCTCATAATCATGTACTTGGGTTACGGCTAGTAGTGTTGTAGGTTGGTATATATTCAGGAAATTATATGATTTTTAAATAACCCTAAACCCTAAACCGTTGGGGATTGAGGTTGACTGTGGGGATTTATCCCGAAGGGTAAGCAACGGTTAAGGTTTAGGGTTTAGGGTTTAGGGTTTTGGGGTTTAGGGATCAGACCGGGTCTATAGAAGAAAAGAGGGAGCCCGGAACCTGCAAATTTCAAAACTCTAAAGCCCTAATGTGGCACAAACGACCCCGCACCCACCCGCCACCTAAACCCTAAACCCGAGACCCGGGTTGGGGGTGGGGACGGAAATGAGCTCTTTCGAAGGGTGTGCAGCTGGTGAGGCAGTTACAGTAGTAGTACACTAGTAGTACAGTAGTACGGTAGTGGCTAGTACCTTAGAAGCACAGTAGTGGTACAGCACGAGGGTTTAGTGGCACCTAGTTCTGTTTAGCAGGGCTTGGGGATCCCAGCAGCTAGAAACCAGTCACCAAGCCCCGATCACTCCACGATAACGACCCCTAAACCCTAAACCCTAAACCCTGAACCCTGAACCCTAAACCCTAAACCCTAAACCCTAAACCCTGAACCCTAAACCCTAAACCAAAGATTTAAAACCATCCATTTGGAAGAACTCTGTCCTCCAACCTAAGGTCCCTAGGGCTAGTCAAGTAGTAGTACAGTACAGTGGCTAAGGCTCCATGAGCCTACATCGTGCTCAGTCCTTGAAGTACGTATGTAGGAATCCTAAACCCCTAAACCCTAAACCCTGAACCCTGAACCCTAAACCCTAAACCCTTAACTCTGAACCCTGAACCCTAAACCATAACCCCGCTCAAGGCCGATGCATATAATGCATGGGTACGTGGAGGCCAAGCCGTTCGAGCGTCCAGAATCTCCTAGCCACCCAAAACTCCTCAACCTCTGACCCCTAAACCCATATCCCTAAACCCTAAGCCCTAAACCCTAAACCCTAAACCCCTGAACCCTAAACCTCGAAACCCTGCTGAACGCCTAAACCGAAAACCAAAACCCCTAAGCCCTTGACGGTCATGACTTGGCGTCACAAACCCGAAATCCAAAAATCAAAAAAGTCCTTGACACCTTGCATAAATCACAATTGATCCCGGCAACCCTACAGCCCCCAGCCGTTTTGCCCAGGGTCAACTGCTGTCTGTCATTCTGGAAGTTACTGAGGTTTTGGTACACATTGCTGAGCAGCTCCTGGTGGTGCAAGCGAAGTGTTCGGGCATGTAGCTTTGGGGGTCGAGGGCTGAGGGCTTATATGGTAGGTCAACCACCTTTAGCTTTGCGGTTTCACATATATATATATATATATACCCTGAGGGTCCGAGTGCTCAACTGTTGACACATCAGACAAAAAGATGCTTAGGATGGAATTAGGCTCAGGAGTGGTTTCAGATTCTAAAAGCATGCTCGGGATGGTTTTGCGACAGCCACAGCATCTGAGCATCAAAGATTATCGTTGCATTGCAGCATCGTTGAGCATCAAGTCTATCGTTTCAACTTGTGTGTTAGAGCTATAGCCGATGCGAGTAGTGTTCGATGTGTTCGATAGCTGGTTCTATGCAGATCCTTATATATACGCTGTGCCCTAATTTGTAATTAATGCTGAAAGCCTCGCTCCTGTTTGCAAAACGCAATGGTAACTCGAAACGAGGTGCATCTCCCCAGCTGTGCACCGCTCTGTGATCATTTGTCGCTGGTGCACGGGCTTCACGTGTTTGCAGTGCTGTGGTGTATGCAGGCTTTTTTCAGCTTTGGACTTGCATGGGGCCCCAGGCTAGGTGCTTTAGGACTCTATATCATGCTCAGCTCTGGTTAGGGCTTCCAGCTCTAAGGGCTTGCTCAGCTCTAGTTAGGGCTTCCAGCTCTAAAGGGCTTCTCCTCTAGTTAGGGCTTCCAGCTCTAATAGGGCTTCTCCACAGAACCGTAGTCATGGCTGATGTGCCTCCGCTCGAACGCAAGTTCACTCAGCCGATGAAGTACTACCTCTCTGATCCTTGGATCTTGAATAATTATCATACATGTCCAGTGCCATAGGCTTCACAAGACTTTCCCAACAACCCGCCAATCAGGAGAGTGCCGAACGGATTGCCGACGGATTTCGTCCTTATCTGGAGAAGCATCTTGTGCAGCTCCGGAATGATGACGTGGCTCGCTATTTTTTGAGATCCGTTGCACATGCACATGTGGGGACAAGTGTCTTTATTCGGAATAATTTTCAACTCGAGGTGAAAGCTATCACGAAAAGCAGTGAGGAAAGCTCCGGCACAAAGGTTGGATTCGAGTGTGTGTGTGTGGGGGGCAAGGGGTGCGAAAAGCTGCGATGTTAAATAGGCGAGTCGAGCGATAATCTATTGCCTGGTAAGGTCTGCGACGCTGATTTCCACTTGAATTATGAACTGCTGAAAGCATTCATCGTGAGAGCCATCACGCCGGAGGGAATCCCCAGCCTCACCGACTTCAAGGCTTTCGCAAATAAATAAACATGGCAGCCTCAACATGTCTCCAACCGTTTTAACGACATTAGCGCCGCTACAGGTCGCCTTGGTCCACCTGTCCTGCACACTCGCCCTCCACCCCGGGGTGAGGGCCCGGGGCGGAAAACAAATCGTGAAGGAGCCTTCAACATCGCACTGCGAGTGCTGTATTTTGCTTCTAACCTGCTGTTATAAGTTTTGCAATTTGTCAGGACTGGTCCTACCAGCAGGCCGGAAAGTTCAGGGCCATCATGGCCCAGTTGTCCAGGGTTACTCGGCGAACCCTGGACGCGAAGTGCCTCGATGCTATGATCAGTTTAAAACCGCAGGCGAGACCTTTATACCAATATTAATAGAACCCGCTATATAGCTACCTACATATATGATTTATCGTTACTACTGCTATGTCGTCGCCCTAAATTTCCTAATCACCCTGAAACCCTGCCCTAACCCTTGATCCCGAAACCCCGAAAAACACACGCAAACCAATCATGATCAGGTCCAGGAGGACAAAAGTCCTTAAAAAGCTGTTCGCAGCGAAGATGGGCTGGATCAATGACGACGGCGAGTTGCTGCATGCTTTAGAGGAGCACTGGCCGCGATTTGGGTGGGGTACATGTCTAGCGATTTCGGGTACATGTCTATAAGCTACAGCAGTCTGCCCTGCTCCCCTTTCTCTTTTCGACGATCGCAGTACTTCGCATCTGATCAACTCCATGAGGCCCCGGAGGTCGCCGATGAGCCTGAGGATGCCGATGACCACACCCCCCAGACGCCCGACGATGCTGATATTGTTCCCCGAAGCCTAGAGGCTGCCACTAGGCTTGAGCTTCAATCAGTATACAGCGACTTAATTCAAACATATGTTAATGAGCATACCGTGCCAACTTTCAAGGACTTGGATCGCGAGATGCACCGCCTCCTATCGACTCAGTCGCTCAGCAAGGATGGAGAAGACCTCACGGGCTGTGCTGCCCCCTGTGTCGCTAGGCTGATTATTATTATAATAACGGTGACGATGACCATGCTCATGGTGATGGTTTCCTAGCTAGCTGGGAATCTCAGGATCTGCCACCTGAAACGTTGATGTCTATTATGGAGATGGGGAGCGACGATGAAGACTTTGCAGGGCCCGACGCTGCTTGATTTAATAACTATATTTGCATCGTTGGCAGCACCCAGGTTTGCACGTCTACAGTGGCTTGAGCTAGCTAGTGTACCACCCCTTGGCCAAGGATGTGCCACATCCGTCGGAAGTTCTGACGGCCGAGGAAATGGAGGAGTTTGAGGCACACGCCCAGAACCCCTAAACTTTTCAAACCGATGAGCCCTCAAAATCCGGAACCCCTCAACTTATCTTTTCAAACCAATGAGCCCTGTAATTCCGGAACCCCTGAACTTGTCAAGCCAACGAGCCCCCAAAAGCTAGGCCCAGAAACCGCCCAATTAGATACGCAGCGAGGCCGAAGTTCGTCTCCACGAGACGACGAAGCAGATGCCGAAAGTGACCTGCAAGCAAGCTAGTTGGGCTTAAGGCCTAAACCGCGGACCCTCAAACCCCAAACCCTAAAGACTTAAACCCAAGACCCCTCGACCCTAAACCCTAAGCCTCAAACCCCAAACCCTAAAGACTTATAACCCAATAAGCCCCCTCGACCCTAAACCCTAAAGGTTAGAATTAATCTTCGAAGATCTAGCCCCTTACGGTATACTAGTCGTCGTTCTTATTGCACAAGTATATTTAAATTTTTATGCATCCTAGGCATACTTGACTTGTGATTTTATTTGTCGACGACACTATATTGCATTTCAACTTTTGAGTTCAGAATTCAGGATCGGAAACCACTGGTGCCTTCTATGCCGGATCTGCCAGCTGAGCTAAGCGAGCTTCTTAATACCGTCGTTGGCGAGGACATCGATGCAAACCCCACCCTCACGAAGCAAAGGCAGGTCAAGGCAGAAGAGATAATGAAGGCCAGGGAATAATGCAATACAACAATTGTGGAAGTATATAGTGCTGGCATTTTTTCATCACACGGTGTGCAGGCGGCTGCTGCTAAGGCAAAGGGCGGCAAGGGCAAGGGTGGAGGCAAGCTGAAGCGAAAGCTGTCAGTGATCGCAGATGACAAGAGTTTGTCTACGCCACCGGGGTCCGTGAAGGAGGCGCCAGGCAGTGACCCGCTTCAGAAGAAGCCCAGGGGCCCACGAAAGGGAAAGGGGAAAGGCTTTAAAAAGGAAAAGCTGGTGGAGTCGGTGGACAAGCCAGAGTCCACAGACAAGGGTGAGCAGGAGTCAGTGGACAAGCCGGAGTCCGCAGACAAGGGTGAGCAGCAGGAGTCAGTGGACAAGCCAGAGTCCGCAGACAAGGGTGAGCAGGACGAGCAGGAGTCGGTGGACAAGCCAGAGGAGTCCGCAGACAAGGGTGAGCAGGACGACCAGGAGTCGGTGGACAAGCCCGCAGACAAGGGTGAGCAGGACGAGCCAGAGGAGAAGGAAGCCGGAAAGGAGGCGGCCAAACTGAAGTCCCGGGCCGTGGCAGACCGGAACCTGGCCACAGTCAGGTCGTTGGCCTCCAAGCATCCGGACTTGCAGCCACAGCTTGGGTTTGCCGGCAAGAGACTAGGCTAGATAATGAGCCATCTTGACCATGACAGTTCATGCTGGAGGTTTCATCTTGCGACTGTACTAGCAGTAGCAACCTGAGGAGCTATACCGTTTGGCCTCCTCGTGGCGAAGTGGACAACCCCGAGATCAACCCCATCACCGTTGCTTTGTACACCCCCTGCTTCTATGTGCAGCGATGTGTCAAGAAAGACAGTGCCGCTGCATATGGTGCAACTTGACTAGTAATGTAGTATGTACACTCATGCCAACAACACTAGAAAGCACGATCATGGTACACATCGTTGTTTTACAACTGCCTCCCAGGTGAAAGTGGACAAGAAAGGCGGCTCCACGGTGTCGTGGTTGAAGCACAGAGGTGCCTCCCGAGCGCCACTGGTCGGCAAATTCATTTATTATTGCTTGAGATTGCGAGCATGACATGTTAGCATGTCTTGCGAACTAGCTAGAGATACCAGCTTCAGAATCCAAGATGGCTCTTGGCCACCTTCCTAGCCGGGTGGCATGGAGATGTGGACCCGGTCGACAGCGATATCAATGATGATGATCATGATGCTTGGTTGCATCTTTGACTGTTCCCCCGCATATATTAATAGGCTTTGCTTGTAATTCGAGTTCGCTTACCCTAAACCCTAAACCCTGAACCCTAGTTTAATTATAACACTTATTATAGCAAACAATTAAGTAAACAAACATAATATTAGCGAGAAATCTGAGCCTGAGATATGTGTATAGCATGCACATAGCATGTTCCCTTTGTCATCTGATTCAGGGCAGGGTATTGTTGGGGGAAACATGTAATCCTGGAGCTCGACCTTAATAAGTATGGCTACAATCAACAGTCAACCTAAACCCTAAACCCTTGTCGCCGGAGTTTGGAGATTTCTTTGAGCTTTATGTGATCATGAGCCTTAAACAAGTAAGCTTGTGATCTACAGTATATGGCTTTCGGTGTCCAGGTGGCAAGAATCTACACGCTTACAAGGCCAGGCCTAGCTGTACTTGTCATCAACTTTCGGTGTAGCCTTCAGGGCAGGAGTCAATGCTCGGTTGGGGGGTTTAGGGGTTTAGGGGTTTAGGGGTCTAGGGTTAATGTTTAGGGGTCATAAGCTTAAGGTATAAGGGCCCCATCCAACCCTTTTGTTTCCCACGCCCCTCGTCGCCACTCCATGTCCAGGATGCTCCACGCAAGAAGACGAGGACGATGTAAATGGCTCCGAGTTCCTGACATCGCAAAGCTTCGAACTTTTCAGGTTTATCCTGGGCATCTAGGGCTGATTGATGTGCTGGGCAGTGCAGGGATCGTGTAGCTAGCATAGTTGCACATTATAACAGCTTGCTACGGCTGGGTTCTTCTTATGCTTCGGCTTCAGACACACGGTAGCACTTGATTCCGAACTGCCTTCGCAACAGATTGGCCGCCGGTACCAGGATGTTGATATTTCAACATCTATCCGGATCTAGGTCTTGGCTGCCAGTTTAACCGCTTCTTAGGCTTGAGCTTAGAAGGGTTCATAACTCTAGCCTGTTTCTACACCGAGCCTCCCCTGGGTACAGATAATCTCTAGATCTAGGCTAGATCTTATTGGGTCTATAGTATACCTGGATACCCGTGCTGTGTACATATAGTCTACTGTACTACTGGGTAGCTTGGGTAGTAGATAGGGTTTCTCATACTTGAGTGAAGCCTAAGACTGTGGTGGCAGTAAATTTGAGCATTGGAAAATTCAATGCAGCCTTGAGAAGCATTTTCGCAACGATCCCCGAAAGTGGATGAAAATCTCACCGTCGAAACTCTGTGGATTGGAGCTTCTGATGTGCTTGAGTGCACTTGTTGCCCGGCCACTGCAAACTCAGTGGCTCAATGTCTTGAAGATCTGCTGTCAACATAGTTACACTGCAATACAGCGGGTCTGTAGGATCGGAGCAAGTAGCGGCTTTACGGGTTGCACCAGGCCACGCAGACCATGTCTGCCAACCAGATGGCCAGATTCGAAGGGTCATCTCCAGGCCTCACGGGTGTGTGTACGTGTGTGTGTGTGTGTCTGTGTGTGTGTAAGTGTGTGTGTGTGTGTCTCTACGTTTGTTTGCTCGTCGGGGATTGGCTTCGCAAACTAGACTTGTTTTAATTTGGAGGCAGTGTATAATACACTGATATATGTATACACCAATTAAGTTGCGGGGTGGCTAGAACAACAATGCAGTTTAGGAAGTTATCAGGCCTGTGATTATAGACCATTTTCGGTTGTCATCGACTGACGAGTATCATGAGAATGATGCTTATGATGAAGCTGCATGGCATATTCTGCTGATGATGAGGATCATGATATTCTACTAGAGCGATGAGATGATACTGACGATGGTTATAGGTGATGATGACGATCATGGGGATGCACTATGATGATGGCGATGTTGTGATAGTGATGATGATGATGATGATGCATCCTGATATGATGATGGCAATGATGAAGATATCCCAAGATGATGACAGGTACATCACTAGAGCCTTAGATAGTTCGAGCCTGGAGGCCTTCACACCCTCAAACCTCAGAGGTTCCAAACCCCGACACACCAAACCCACACATCCCTGAAGCCTGAAAACCGAAACTTACCCTAAGACCTGAACCTACACGTACCCTAAGACCCGAAGCCAACCCTACACTTACCCTAAGACCTGAAGCCCTGAAGGCTTAATTCCTAAACTTATGATATGCTAGCTTAGTCTACAGTGGCAGAACAATGCCATGTGCAGTCTAGTTATTAACGAATCGAGCTCCAGCTCCAACCATCCAAGAACTACGCAGCCACAACCACCGAATCAATAATTATATATGTGATGGTATTGAAAAACCCAGGATCAAAGGGACGATGAAGATCTGCCCGATGGAGTCGCCAGTCGATCAGTGTGTGCCTTGGTTCGCGAGCTGCTTCTTATGTTCAGACCTCGGGCTTAGGTGCTTCTAAGGGCTTTAGGAGGAGGGGTTAACACGGAGACTACCTGGCTATTTATGTAAGGGTTTATATAAAGACTACACAATAATCAATGGTTATTTAGTAATGGGATTAAGGGTCCCTCTTAGGGGTCTCTCCTAGATTGCCTTGGGGCTTGGGGATCGTGGTACAGACTTCAGTCGCTACCAGATGTACAGGCATAGTGCTAGTGGCACGGTTACTTCGTGAGCATGATTGACACTGACTTCAGGGTTCATGGTTCCAGATAGAGTAAGCCCCAGGCTGAAATCGTCCTTCAACAAGTCACCCATCCCAAAACCCCGCAATCCTAAAGCCTTGTAATAACAAGAAGCACCCTGCCTCAAACCCAGAAAACCTGCAACTCGAGTTCGAACCCCAGACCCTCGTCCTAACTCGGAGATCAATTCTCGGTACCCAATACCAGAGCCTGTGCAAATCATATAATTAGTGCCAAAGTCATCAAAGCCTATACATGGCCCACCCTCTCTGTAGCTAAGTCCCACCTGGTAGGCTCCACTTCCCGAAGCCCTTAACCGCAATGATCCTGATCCTTACCCCATATTGGATCCGACCCTGACTCGACCATTTACTTTAAAACAAAAAACATGAACCGAGCCCGGAGGTTCGGTGGAGAATTGCAAATCAGGGTCGATTGCAAGGCCGTGGCTTAGGTAATGGTTTAGAGTCCTAAGGTTTTGGGCCCGAGTGGGAGTTCAGGCCAGGGTTTAATTAATAGGATTACAAATTTAAAGAAGGCCGGTGTGCAGGCTTTGGTTTAGGGGCTGCTATTTGCTGCAGGTTGCATATCGTATACAGTATTCAGAAAATATACTACACCGGAACTACATTTAATAGCTATATTATACGCTAGGCTTTTGGTTCAGGAGTTGCTTCGCCGGATTTTCCTAAGATGTTGGGGTCTGGGTTTCCTGGTTTACTTGCTAGGAGTGGTAAGTTTCGGCCAGGGAAGAAGTGTTGGCCTGCAGGGTTCCGGGTTTCATAGGACACAATAACTAGTACGTGGCAGAGCCAGGAGTTTGCTCTAGCTAGCTAGTTATATATAGTCCCTGCAACTGGGTATAATAGTTTTGCTTGTATGCAATAAGTATAGTGGGCCCCAATTATATAGCTTTAAACCGAAACCTTAAAACCTGTAAACCCAGATACAAGGACCCAAGGGTTTAGGGCTAGTCGCCTAAGTGTGCCTAGGAGAGATGGGTTTCGGCTAGATGCATGGCTTTCAAACTTTCTGAGGAATGCGGGTTTCGGATAGGTACCGGTGCAGTTCGAATCGGGGTACCATCTAGGTCCCGGTCTAATTTATAGTCGGTTCGAGCATAGTATGGGGTAGAACAGGTGTTGGTACTAGTGTGGGGAGGAAATGGCAGAAGCTTCTTAAGGTAAGTTGGTGAGGCAAACTAGTAGGTGGGTAGGTTGATAGGTAGGTAGATCACTAGCTAGCTATATCGGCAGGGTAGGTGGAAGGCATTTCTGTAGCTAGGTCGGTAGGTCGGCAGGATAGGAGGTGACTGCACTGTTGATCTCCTGACTGAGTTGAATTGGAAGACTCGAAAGAGCTTGGCACGAGCTGGTCGAGTTTATCGGACCGAACCAGCTTTGGGCGGACACGTGTGACAGCTCTTCGCTGTTTCACGTCGCAATCGCAGTCGTCCGTCGCTATCACAGTTTACTCCGTCGACGTCGCGACCGCCATTATCAACCCAGCCGACAGGGGCTGAGCAGATTTCCGCGGTTGCGGAGAAGTGAGCCACTGCTGGCACCTGATCTTGAAGATGAAGCACCACCCGTCCGAATCCGGGCATTGCCACCTCGCCCTTCCCACCCCTCGCCCAATTGCCTGAGCTTATAGGATCCATGCATCTAATAATTCCGTCTCTAAGCCCTAGACTGTATATCTCAAGCTTAAGGACAAAAATGTCGAAGAATTGAATAATAGTATAAGGGTCCAAAGGACCCAATAATAGGGTACGTTCGTTTCGGATGGTATTTATCGAGGGTTGATACTTGGCCATGGGAGAGTATATGATTATTAGGTACTTGGACCCTGAGGGATTGCTTCTACTATAGTAGTGCTGGAACCCAGCTGTAGAAGTTGCCACAAACCCTGATCCATGAGCCCTGCAGCTAAAATATAGCTAAAGCGCCAGGCCAGTTGTAGAGTATGTTTACTGGAACCCTAAGACCCAACCCTAAAGCTGAAGCCCTTAACCTTAAGTGCCAAGCCCAGAACGGCGAAACCCTCTTGGTGCCAGCTGGGCCACAAAGCTTGTTGATCGATGTGGTGAATTTAGCCTGGATCTAAGCCGAAGTCATGATTAGCCATGTTACTGGGCGATTACAGAAAAAAAAACCTAAGCCCCCGAAACCCCCAAACCCCCTAAACCCCCAAAACCCCCAAATCCCTAAACCCCCAAAACCCCTAAACCCCCGAATCCCTAAACCCCCAAATCCCTAAACCCCCGAAACCCCTAAACCCCCTAAACCCCCAAATCCCAAAACCCCCGAAACCCCTAAACCCCCTAAACCCCCAAATCCCAAAGCCCCCAAATCCCTAAATCCTTAAACCCCCCAGAGCCGAGGCCCGGAGACCCGCAAGCCCCTATAGTGCCGGGGCCTTTACTTAGTCCTCCAGTATACCCACCCCTACTTCATAAGACTGTGCGAAATCCCCCTTAAAGTAAAAAAACCCTACCTAAACCCTAAACCCTAAACCCTACACCCTAAAGCCTAAACCCTAAACCCTAAACCCTTAACCTAATATTAATATTGGCCAGCATCCCCCGCTGCAGGCGGCAACATCGCATACCAGCTTCGGCAGAGGCTGCTGGATCGTGTGCCGCCCCGACAGGCGGTGCCAAGCTGCAATTACCTGCAATTGTTCGATAGGGTTACTTTGTAGCTATAGGCTAGGCCGAAGGTGATATGCTGATATGGACCAAGGTTCCGAGGATGAATGGTTGTGACGATGTTTGAGTGAGGCAGGCTAGAGCTACCGAGCATACTAGGACTGAGTTCCACCCAGAAGCCGAAGCTTTGGATATCGATTCTTGTACTTGTTTAATTTAATTTGTTGTACCAACCCAGCTACCTAGACACATTCCCCATTCTTAAAGGTCCTCCCGGTAGGTACCTGCTATCGCTATACGTAGTAGATATTCAGAACCGAACTAATGTGTCGGTGTCGCCTGGGTCGAGATATAGCTGCCATCGATCGATGTGCCTCAGGCTGATGCATTGCCATTGCAATCGGTGCACTCGAATAGTAGGCATAAATACTTGGACTTAAGTATAGATAGTTTAAGCCTCGGGACATAGGGTTAGCTTAGGGTACCGGGTAGGCTTAATTAACAAGGCTAAACAGAATAGAATTCACGAGATATATGCTATATATACGTATACTATAATATTAGATATACGACGGTATATGCAGGGAGATACAGTATTTGAAAATAAGATTAATATATATATATATATATGTAATTAATGCTTTTTCTGGTCAAGAACCCAAAATAATTAGAACGACGATTAGGGCTGGGCCTAGGGTTATAGGGTACGGGTACGGGACCCGGGTAGTTTATGCTTTAATAGCTATGGGCATGGGTGATTGTACATGTGGGCCTAGCACGATTAGGGCTGTGCCTAGGGTTATAGCTATAGGGTTTGGTCTCAGGGTAAGGCTACAGCGATTTGGGTCAATCTGGGTTAGAGGTCCTGAAGATTAAAGCCTGATTGCTGATGGTCTGCAGCAGCTCTGGCCTAGGGAGCTAGAGACCACGTTGGCGAAAATAGGATTTGCTCTGCTGCAGCACGTAGACACCGGATCATTGTCGGCTTGTTCTATGATTCATGAATGTTCGAGTCTTCGTCTGGTACATTAGACAGCTTGCTTGCAGAACCCCGCCGAAAAACCATTCATGGTAGGTTCCTGAGTTATCAACATATATGGTTTCAGAATATTTTTCTTAAGTAAATATAAAATATAGACACATATAGGCGTAACTTGGCGTAACTTTGCCGTAACTTTACGCCCCCAAAAACCATGCCACATAAGGTCTTTGAGCATATAGGCGTAACTTCCCGTAACTCCCCGTAACTTTCCGTAACTACCTGTAATTCGTGCCCGCTGCCCTTTGTGCCGAAACCCTTCAGGGATAGGTTTTTCTCAAAGGCCAGCCTGCTCTGGCTTCTTGGTAGCTTGGGTCGAGATATAGTCACGCCGAGCTTAAGCAAAAGTGCTCGCAGCGAGCCGTATCCTGCTGCGAAGAATCCGCCTTCGAAGCTGCCCCGGGTGTCTTGGGTGTAAATAAGGGCTCAAGTACTTATTTGAGGTTTTACGTACCCACTAATAGGCCCCCAAATCCAATAATAATTAATGGGTACTTTGTCCCTTAGGTGTAATTATCCCAATATTTTAATAATATGTCTAGGGTGTGCTACAGCTTATGAAGAATCGAACTTGTGCCCAGGCTCCGTCCAGATCTCTCTCTGGTGTGGACCTGTGTGTGGACGAGGAGGTCGCAGCAGCTTTGAGAGGAGGCAAATAACGAGTTCCGGGTGGCTACACAATACTAATTACAGTTATAACATAAGATCTAGAGTAATGAATGCGGCCAAATAACAATCTATCTCCGGAAATGCACCCTGCTAGGCAAGACTCCTCGCTCTAGGACAGCTACTACTCCTACTCCGGCAAGGGCGCCTGGAACAATACCCGGACCCCAGGGTGCTGGTACCATGCCAAAGACAGCAAAGCTCTTGCATGGGACACCAATCAAGAGCCCTCCTATGAAGAGAACCAAGTCGAATCCTGTTCGGAAAGACAGCGAGATCTCAATCGCAAGTTCGTCGGGGAAGCCTCCCCAGCGGCCCCCTTCTACGAAAGGATGCCTGCCTGCTTAAGTCTAACTGTTCCTAGCTTCGGGGTCATTGTGTCGGTTGGAGTACGATCTGTATATTTAAAGAGTAAATCTAGCCCAAGCTAAGGTGAAGTTTATTTTAATATTCTATTTATAATATCTAGGCACCTATAGATATGATAAGTATACCATGTCGTATATATAAGCTGCCATTTATGTTCGCATTATTATGTAGCTACACATATGACCAGCTATAGAATGCAAGCCATGTTTGTCGAAGTCTAGTACTAGTGTGCTAGCATGCATGCATGTATATATATATATACATATGTACACATGCATGTATATAGAAATAGTACCACGTGTGTGTACATGTTCCTGGCCAGTAGCTCTCTAGATCTAGCATTATATATATATATGTATACTTATAATTATATATATATACATACATACATATATATATATATATATATATATTTAAATCATGGTACACGCATGATCCTTAATCATATGATATCGATGATGATATATGATCATGACCATGCACACGTACAACAAGCAGCAGTGTACTTGCTGGCCTAAGGAGTGAAGCACATGGATACACAATCGACGGTTCCCTGGGTAGGAACGGACTCGCCAGATGGTGTTTGCACCTTGGTGCTTGCTGACCTTTTGGAACTGTCGAAGGATGAGATGGGAAAAAATCTGTTCCTGGACAGCCTCAGGCTGGGCCCTGGTGCATCCTGTTTCCGTGAGTTTGTGTTGAATGCCTTTGTTGATGACGAGATGCTGCTGCTGGCGGATGCTGCAAGTCAGGCGAAGGGCCTGGACAAACTGCAGCATGTCTACCGTGTAACGGTAGAGCTCGTGAAGGATGCTAAAGACAAAGCTCGGGTGTGGGAACACTTCAATACCGAGGGCTACGAGAAGGTTAAGGCATCCGCAGAGTTGTCGGTGGCAAGGGTCAAGGATTTGACCGCCAAGGATCCAGATCAGAGCAAAGCCGAAAAACAACGAGCAAAGGCAGACATGTGGCTGAGGAGGGAAGTAGCTGCACTTGACAAACGAAAGGCGGACCTGAGCCTTGCTGCGACAAAGGCAGCATCAAATGCTGCAGGGAAGCTGCATGCTTTGATCCACCACCTGAGGTCCACGGATTTGATGAGCGAAAGCTTTGCTCATCAGATGGAGTTCTGGTCGGAGCTGGACAGCACTGATGCAGCAGCTCGAGCGACACGTCGAGCAGTGGCAGGGAATCAGGTAGATCCTGTGAAACTGTTTGTTTCCGGAGCTCCAGGTCGGAAGTCCCCGGCACACGTGCTTCAAGATTCTGGTCCCCAAGTGGAAGAGACACTTGTAGATTCAGCGCCAGAAGCCGTGCTTCCAGATTCTGGCCCTACCCAAGAGTCAATTGGAGATTTGGCCCCAGAACAAGAGCTTCAAGATTCTCCCCCACAAGAGTCAATCGGATATTTGACCCCAGAACAGGAGCTTCAAGATTCTGGTCCCCGAGATTTGGCCCCAGAACAGGAGCTTGAAGATTCTGGTCCCCGAGAGTCAGTTGGAGATTTGGCCCCAGAACAGAAGCTTCATGATTCTGGTCCCCAGCAAGAGTCACTTGGAGATTTGCCCCCAGAACAGGAGCTTCAAGATTCTGGTCCCCGAGATTTGGCCCCAGAACAGGAGCTTCAAGATTCTGGTCCCCGAGAGTCAGTTGGAGATTTGGCCCCAGAACAGGAGCTTCAAGATTCAGGTCCCCAGCAAGAGTCACTTCCGATGCCTCTACTACGTGCTGAGACTCAGGGGTCGCTTACTAATTCAGAGTTTCAGCTTCGGCAAGAGCTACTTGGTCCCCGATTTTCACGTCAAGACTCTGATGTGGTGCCGATGGCAAATTTAGGGCCAGCCATGCTTCGGGCTCTTGACACCCAAGAGTTGCTGGATGCACTAGAAGATCCCGGGCATGAGTCATCTCAGAATGTGTCAGGATCTGTGGTTGGTGATGCAGCACCCTCGCAGGTGACTAAGGCGACAGGGGCTCCAGCAGAGATCGCAGTGGCCACGGAGGTGCATTACACACGGTTTTAGCATATGTATCTGTGCATAGCATGTGCATGGTCACACACGATAGGAGTATGGACTTAGGGCTGGAAACCCCTGTAAGGAAACACTAGCAACATCGACCGCGAACTCGACTTATGTGTCATGTTTGGTTAATCGTAGAAGCTGCAATTGCACATGGTGTACACGTAGTAGAAGCATTAACACGATATCGTAGCAATTCTTATTGCAGCTATAGTACGTCGTAGTGGCTGTAGCTGCAGTGGTAGTAGTATATATTATATATAGCTGCTATAGTAGCTACCACCTACAGCTACTATACTTGCTACTGCTACTGCTACTGCTACTGCTACTGCTACTGCTACTGCTACTGATACTACTACTACTACTACTACTACTACTACTACTACTACGACTACTATACTGCTACTACTACTACTACGAATGAAATCCTGGTCAGGTGCTCCGTGGGCCCACTGGTCCTGATGTGATCGACTGCGATGAGGAAGCCCTCGATGATTATGATCTTGTTGTGAAGCTCGAGGCAACCACTAGTGAGCAGCTGCATAACCGTAATTATATGGATCGAGTTCATGATTACTTTAATCGCCCCCCTTAGCTTCCCCCTAAACCCTAGCTGATGCTGGACCCTGAACCATACCTTAAACAAAACACCAATTAAGCCCTTGAGCCTTAAGCCCCCAAGCCTACCTGCAGGCCATGCTGCTGCAGACCAAGGATGAGCATGGGGTCAACGATGCCCACGCAGCAGCTGCAAAGGTCGAAACAACAAGCCCCGACCGTGTCCTGAGTGCAGGGACTGACCCCTACATGGGAGGTGTGGTGGAGCTGTCTCCTGTTAAAGCTTTGGACTCGGATCTCCAACGTGCAGTAGCTGCTGGCAAGAAGGACCATGGTCGTGGGATAGCAGACTACATTCTAGAGTATGGACAAGACTTGCAGTCGATCATGTCGTCTCTAGTCGAATCATCAACAGCATCGTTCGTCTAGTTATACGCAGGACGACCACATCGAGGCGAAGGCCAAGGCAGCCGAGAAGCCGTCTCTCCAGATCGCCCGAGCTGATGAAGATGCCGAGGTGGATGAGGCTGCAAGGCAGGAAGAACTCGAAAAACGAGCAAGACGTGCCCGAATGATGCGGTCTTTGAATCGCTTCATGTCTCCATATATAGTAGCTTGGGGTGGTTACAATATATGTACCTTTTAAAGTCTTTGTGCAATAATACCCTAAGTAGATTCGATCCTGAGGCTCCGATGTTCCCCCCGCGATCATGGAAAAGGCCAAGATCGCCCAGAAGAGCCACTTACTTGCACTTGTTGGCACCAGAATGTGACAACACAGAAACTATCTTTGATACGTGCTCACTTCAGATCGAAAATACGGCGAGCTTCTGCAGCTCTTCGCTGAGTGTGGAGAGAACTGGTCCGAGTGCCGGATAAGTTCTACATCTTCTACGGACGACACGAGAGCTGTGGTGGGGGGACAGACGTACAAACGATACAAAGACTTGGTATCTGAACACGGAAAGGAGAACGCAGATCGGCTTAGGGCCGAGAAGAAGGCCAAACAATCCGCCCTGGGTGACGCCTTCGAAAATGTGCCGTGGTGGTATGCCCACCCTGACTTTGCAGACCTGGAGGAGACCCGCCTGTATTGCTTAGCTAACTACTTCTAGGGGTTTGTTATAGACCTGATTTGAAACCACGCTGTGGCCAGGACTACGAATTGTTCCTGGTCTGGGATGCAGCCAAAGTGTGTACGACGGCAACACAGCGGACCTACAACGAAGTGAACCACAACATGCATGTTGGTGGAGATCTTGGGAGGGATCTCCGGTGTCTTGCCTTCCATTAAACCGGTACTAGTTCCTAGCCCAAGACACGTACATGTTAAATCTGTCCAAGTGTCTGATCATGAAGCAAGTTGCAGATCTTGCGGGTGTGCCTTCGAGACCGTGCTAAATCTAAATATATGTGTCGTATCCGAACCCTCTATACATTGTTGGCTTTGAGCAAACCCTATTCTTATATTCTACAGCTAATGGCTTGAGGTGTATGTCCGATGTGTTAGATCGAATTCAGGATTCCAAAAACCCTAAACCCTAAACCCTTAACCCTAAACCCTAAACCCTAAACCCAAAACCCTAAACCCTAAACCCAAACCCTAAACGCCTGAACCCCAAGTCCTAAACCCAAACCCCTAAACTTATAATAACCCAAAACCATAACCCCTAAACCC